TTCAGGCTCAGGCTGCACAGATCCTGCTTCTGCTCCTTTGTCCCTCTTCCCACCCACCCTGTGATGTGGTGGGAAAAGAACTGGATGTCAGAATCAGGTCAGAATTGGAGGCTGGAACTACCCCTTCCTCATTTGATGATCATGAGCCATACACTTAACCTCCTTGTGCCTCAACGATCCCATCTGCATCGTGGGCATAATGATACCTCCATTACCTCAGAGGCCGTGAGGAACCAGGCACATGAAAACATAGCTCCCACGATGCTGGGCTGTGGTGACCCCCTGAGGCATTGCCCCACAGGGGGTCTCAGGATGGAGCTCACACTCAGTCCTGGTAGCGCCCTTCTCTTCAGATGGCGACTCTTCTCAGCAACGAATGAACAGCCCCCCTTTCCTGAAATAGCAGAGAGTGGTAGGGATTACAGCATATGGCACTCGAGAGCCTATCAGCCGCGTGTCTTCAGAAAACAACTAAAACAACATTTTTAATTCCTGGCCAATAAGTGCAGAGCATCCTGGAACCAGCAACACACCAAGCCCACAGCATCTGCTAAACCCTGCACCCACAGGTAGTCATGGGGGACTCCCAGCAGGTGTCTCAGCAGAGCCAAGACTGTCCTCAAAGAGCAGGACACTCCTCACACAAGTCCTAGGACAAACCCAGCAGGTGCAGCCCTGGTGGGGAAATAAGAACAATGCCAGACAAGCAAGTTAGCAGAACTTGGCCAACATAAGACAATCCAGACAAGGTAGGAAATTATTCAGTTAACCTAATGAGGAGAACCTACAAGGATGAATGGATGGGTGAATGGGTAGATAGGTGGTATGTGGGTGGAATAAATATAGACACAGATAGATGATAGACAGTATATGCCATATATATATACACACACACATATATATTTCAAAGAACATTTTTTTTCTGATTATAAAAGAAATACATGTTTAACATAAAAACTTGAAAAATGTGAAAAAAAAATTACTCAAAATTTCCCACTTCAAAATAATTGCTGTTTGCATTTTTGCGCATTTCCTTCTCGACTTTTTTCTTTGTATGCACATATTTCTACCAATGTTGGCATCATACTGCATATTTGTTTTATTTCTGTTTCACTTAGCAGTACATTGTAAGCATTTTACCAGGTCATTTAAAAATGTGCTTTGACTGCAAGACTGCCAACACTACATCCGATTCCATCACAAAGATTTGGATTACTGGGATACCCACGGTACAGTGTCAATCATGTGAGAAACATAATAGAGATGCTCCAATTATCTCTGCTGATCAGTCCCAGGTCCCAGAGGACAGTTGGAAGGGTCCATGCTGGGACAGTGGCACCCCAGTGTCAGTGACCACGGAGCCAGCCCTAGGACGGATAGCTGCTCCACCACCGCCACCCTGGGCAGACGACTCACTGTGTGGTCTGAGGGGCCCACATTACATCAGCATTCCAGCCCATAGGGGTCAAGAGGGAAAGGGCAGAGGGAGGATGTGGCTGTCCAGGGATAGCTCCTGGAACCTACACTTGTCACTTCTGCTCACGCTCTACGGACAGGACTCCATCACACGCAACACCTATCTCCTAGAGGGAACCGTGGCATGAGGACCAGACCTCGGCACAGCCGGAAGTTCCATTGCTCTGAAGACGCGGGGGAGAGAAGGGGTGCTGCAGCTACGAGGCCTCATTGAGATCTCCTATTTCATGGTGTGCATTCCACCCCTCTCCTGACCCTTCAACGAAGTGTGAGATTCTCGCGTGATGGATTGTCTGGGTTGTGTGCATAAAATGCCACTTTGGGTAACCCTAACTGACTACTGTCAAGATTCCAGTGGCCAGAATAGGAAAAGTCAAGTGATTTGTACAATTTGGAGAATGTTGGTTTCCCTCTCCCTCTTTTTAATAAAGAGAATGTTGTTTTCATAAGGTATCCATAGCATAGTGGCTAAAAGCACTTGACTGCTAACCAGAAGGCTGGCAGTTCAAACCCACCAGCCACTCCTCGGAAGGAAGGTTGGGCAATCCTACTTCCATAGTGATACTGCCTTGGAAACCCAAGGAGGGGTCGCTATGAGTCGGGGCTGACTTGACGGCACATAACAACAACAACAACAACAAATACATATAGATATTTTATAAACACAAACAAACATATAAATGTAAGTTATTATTCCAATTCCCATGCCAAAATTTGTCCATATCCCATCTTCTTTGTCCCAGAAGCAGCCTGTCCCTGGAGTTCCGTGCCAGCCTGTGCAGGGCCGCGCACAGACACATAGTAGACCAGGTGAATCCATCCCAAATGAGCTCTCCCACAGCAGGCCAACAGCTCCTCTGGGCTTTCCACCACATTCCAGGTCACAGGGTGAGTGGCGCTCTTGTGCAAACTTGAAGTCAAATAGTGATAATTCACTACACGGCCCTTGCTTTGGGCCTCAGATTAGCTCCCTGCATTTTGAGGTCCTTGGAGCCATCCTAGATAGGGCTCCTTTGAGACTCAAGTGCTTCCAGCTCTGGCCCTTCCCTCCTTTCCGGAACAAGTGTGCAGAGCCGGGCCCAGTGTGCCTTGGTGGTAACAGGTCCTTGCTCAGGGTCAGTCTCCCAGCAAGAGTGGTTCCTTCTCATCCACAAGGTGTACCATTTCCTTCACCTTTCTTCCCCTGCCCTTTCTCTCTGAAACCGTTCTCCCTCTCTCTTGGAACCCTCATGCCTGTGCTTTAAGCACTGGTGGTTCAGGGGTAGAATTCTCATCTTCAATGCGGGAGCTTCCGACTAAGAGAGACTAGAAAGAAAAGACTGGAAATACTTCCATCAGCCAGTGGAAACCCTGGGATCATGGGGATGACGCCGGCCTGGACAGAGCTGTGTTCCATCATGCATGGGGCCACAGGACAGGGGCTGGCTTGATGGTAGCTGCCAAGTGGCTCCCAGTGACCACTTACTCATTGTTGACACCTACACAA